ATGGAAGGAAGGGGTGGGTGGATAGATGGATGGAAGGAAGGATGGATAGAAGGAAGGGGTGGATGGATAGATGGCTGGAAGGAAGGGGTGGATGAAAGATGGACGGGTAGATATAGAGGTGAGTGACAAAAGGGCCTGCCGAGTGGGAAAGGTAAGGAATAGAGGAGGGGTGTAAGTCCGCATCAGGGAGGTTCATAGGAACTCAAACCTCTTGCTTATTCCATCGTCCACCAGGAGACACTCTGCTTAGTCATCTTGGTTACCACCTGGGCTGTGGGCTAGAGAAGTCATCCTGGAAATGTCTTCTGACTGCAAGAGAAGTCATCATTTGTGCGCTGAGAAGACCGCAAGGACCCTTGGCTATGCCCTGGAGATGCTGCAGCCAGAAATGTGAAGGCTCACAGCAAAGTCCAGAAGCTGCAGTTCGTCAAAGCCAGGACTGGGGCAAAGGCAGTAGGTTATGTTGTCGGAGGGAATGGTTAGATCCCATCATTGTTTTAGTTATTAGTGATATTTTGTTCATCACAGATTTTTGGCATTAATTTTTTTATTTTTAAAAATATTGCACTCAAATATAATTTATCTTGATTACTCTGGGTTTTTTTTTTTTTTTTTTTTGGCACTCCCTTGCATTTTGCACCCGAGGGATGTGTCTCACTTCGTCCACCCTAATCCCGGCCCTATGAGGGAGCAGCAGTTTCTGGACTTCTCTGCAACCTCCCACACTTCCCCTGCTCAGTTGGTTTTGCTCTTGCCTCTAGGGGAAGCAGGAGCTCGGGGGCTGGAGCTCAGAGCATGTCTGCCTCCAGTCATTTCTCCTACAGAGCCTCCTTCAATCTCTTGTTGTCCACAGATTCTCACTGTCTACACTCCTTTGCCTGTCACTTAAGACCTCCTATGATACATCCCTATTCTGCTTGTAGTGTCCACCACCACTGCAGTCCTCATCAGTCCACAGGTGAGCTCCTCGCCGGGCACAACCCCCAGCTCCCTCTCTGTTCTCCTGTCTTGTCCTCTCTCCTCTACAGAAACTTCCTCTTCCAGAATCCCCGAATTAATAATGTGCCCCACACACTGTTAGGCTTTCTCCCTTACTGTTTTGGAGAGCGTCTCGCAGAGCTGGTTGATTTTCAGCCAGCGTGTACCCGTTAGGCTGTTAGTCTGAGTGGTCAGGGGCCAGGCTATACTGGTGGTTAGGTATTTTGAAAGTCAGGTTTCCTGTATCTTGCCTTCCACAGTGGAGATACCAGGGTGCTGGGGCTCCCGTCCAGGGCCTGGTATACAGCAAGCACAATGTAAATGCAGCAGCAACAGCCGCAGTAGCTGACATCATTCAGTCTGAGTCCGATGGTGACAGGCTGGGGCATTAAAGGTGACATTTGAAGGGCCCTGGGTCCCGGATGAGGGAGGTTTGGAGGTGCTGGGCTCCCCTCCTGATGGGGTTGCAGTCAGCACGAGAGGAACAGGAATGGGTGTATGGGTTTGTGGTTGGGTTTGGGGCTCAGGGGAAACCGAGGGAGAGGAAGCAGCAGGTGGGACCGGCGGAGGACCCAGACCCAGAAGAGGATCCGCAGGTTGGCCAGGCCCCTGGCCGTGTGAGCAGCACATTGCCGCCCCCCGTCCTGGCAACGAGAAATGGCCTTTCCTGTTTCTAGCATGAGTCACTTGGCCTGAGTGTGGGTCACAATTGCACAGTGAACATACACGCTTGCAGGTGCGAGGGGGCTCACGAGGGGCTGCCTGAGGGATGGGACCCGGCGGGGCGAGATGGCCACGGTGCTTGGTGCGTCTGGGTGACCCCCGGCCAGATACCTCCCCCGCACCTGCCTGGTCCCCGGGGCCCCGCCAGCCATCATTCGGACCCTTCCTCATCTGACACCTGGCCCCTCCTCTCTCAGCCAGACCCCTTGTGTTCCTGACCCTGGGAGGCCCCGCTTGAGACACTCCGGCCGAGAAGCTCTCTGACTAGACTCCCTCTCTCTTGCTGCTGCGTCTTCCGGCTGCCGGGACATCTAGGCAGCTCACAACCCACCGGTCTGAAGCGTATACTCAGCGGCATATGCCACGAACTGATCTAAAGCGTTTCTGATCACAGCTGGAGTGCTTCTCAATGGATACTTGCGTTCAGTTCTCTCTCTCCCTCTTTTATTTTTTAAAGTAGACTCCACGCCCAACGTGGGGCTTGAACTCACGACCCCGAGATGAAGAGCCGCTTGCTCTCCTGACCGAGCCAGCCAGGCACCCCGTTTCGCTCTTATTTTTTTTTTTTGAGCTGAAATTCAAATAAAATGAAATGAAACGTTTAAAGTGTGTAGTTCAGGGCACTTAGCACGTTCACAGTGTTGTGCAACCACCACCTCCATCTGGTTTCAAAACTTTTATCATCCCTTTAGAAGAGCCCACGCACATGAAGTAACCACTGCTCACTTCCTCCACCCCAAACTCCCCTGCAGACACGAATCTGTTTTCTGTCTCTGGGGATTTGCCTGTTCCGGACATTTTATATAAAGGGAATCCTATACCAGGTGACATTTTGTGTGTGGCTTCTTAACATCATGTGTTTGGGGTTCCAAACTGTAGCACGTATCAGTGTATTTTATTTTATTTTCTTCTTTTGAGAGAGAGAGAGAGAATGAGGAAGGAGTGAGGAAGGGCAGAAGGGGAGGGAGAAGCAGACTCCCTGCTGAGCAGGGAGCCCGCCGTGAGGCGCCATCTCATGACCCTGAGATCATGACCTGAGCTGAAACCCAGAGTCCCACGCTCTACCGCCTCAGCCCGCCAGGTGTCCCAATTTTCGTTTAAGGCTGAATAACAGCCCACTGTATGGACAGACCACATTTTGTGTATTCATTCCTCTGTTGGTGGACAAGGTTGTTTGCACCTTTTGGTTGCTGCAGATGCAGCTGCTGTGAACATTTGTGGGGAGACACCTGGCCAGGGCATCACTGGATCCCATGGGAACCGCATGTTTACCTCCCTGAGCACCTGCCAGACCCTTTCCCCACAGAGACTGCATCTTGTCTCAGTGCCCAGCAGCGAGTGTGGGTCTCCGTTTCTCTTGCGGAGACCCGTGATTTTTCTGGGGGTTTTTGGGCTGTAATCATAGCCATCTGAGTGGGTGTGAAGCACTATCTCATTGTGGTTGTGATTTGCATTTCCTTCATGACTAATGTTGTTGAACATGTTCTCATGTGCTCGTTGGCTATTTGTCCATCTTCTTTGGAGAAATGTCTGTGTAGGTCCTTTGCTTATTTTTTAAAATTGATTTACTCGCTGTCTTTTTGTTGAGCTGCAAGAGTGTTTTATATATTCTGGATACTAAACTCTTACCAGATATGTGATTTGCGAAAATATTTCTCCCCTTCTGTAGGTTGTCCTTCGGCTTTCTCGATGACGTCCTTGGAGGCACAGAGTTGGTAATGTTGGTGGAGTCCGCTTTATCTGTTTTCCCTTCAGTCCCTTCTTTGCAGCCCCTCTTGGAAGCGGGCCTGACCCCGGAGCTGGTGGGTCGGGGGTGCTGGGAGCTGCAGGAGACGCCAGGCGTCCTGCCCGTGTGGGGTCTCGTGGGAGGGAGGTGACACAGGTCTGTGGCATGAGCCATTGGCCGGCCTGAGATGGGGCAGATGAAGTGCTGGGCTGGAGAAAATTAAGGAAGACTTCCTGGAGGGACAGTGCAGAAGGGTGGGGTTTGGGAAGGCAGGATGGTGCTCTGGGCGGGGGGACCTGCATCAGCGGGGGCAGGGCAGTGGGGGTGCTGGGGTGGGGGGCTGCAGATCAGCAGACCTGACATCAGAGCCCGCTCTGGCAGCCACCCAGCAGCCCCGGGCTGCCACGTGCCATGTGACAGCCTTAGCCCCTTCCCCGTGCGGGAGGATGATGGTGCCCACAGCACCGGGATTCCCAGATGGGTCACTGTGGCTGCTGTCACAAATGATCACAACCTTAGGGGCTTAAAAACAACGCCAATGTGTCAGCTCACGTTCTGGAGGTCAGTGCTCAGGTGGGCACGCTGATTCCTCTGTTCAGGTCTCAGACGCCCGGAATTGGGGGTCCGTGGGCCTGGGCGGGTATGTATGTATGTATGATTTTATTCATTTTGAGAGAGACAGAGAGTGCACACGCAGGGGCAGAGGGAGAGAGAGAAGCAGGCTCCCTGCTCCCGACACGGGGCTCGATCCAAGGATCCTGGGATCATGATCTGAGCCGAAGGCAGATGCTCAACGGACTGAGCCACCCAGGCGCCCCAAGGGCCTGGGCTTTTATGTACAGGTTCTGGGGGGAGAATCCTTCCCAAACTCATCCCAACTTGGGCAGAGTTTAGTTCCTGCAGTTGCGGGACTGAGGGCTCTGGTTCCTTGCTGGCCCTGGGCTGGGGTCTCGCAGCATAAGGCCACCTGCGTCCCCCTCCCCCCCGCCCCGTCTTCCAGCGGAAGTGGGGAGTCCTCCTCTGCACCGTCTGTCTGCCTCCAGCTGGAGAAAGGGCTCTACTTTTAAGGGTGTATGGGATTAGTTCGGGCCCGGTGATAATCAAGGCTAATCTTCCTAATTTAAAGCCTGTAACCTTGATTTCATCTGCAAAATCCCTTTTAAATCTTTTTTTTTTTAAGATTTTATTTATTTATTCATGAGAGAGGGAGAGAGAGAGAGAGAGAGAGAGAAGCAGAGGGAGAAGCAGGCTCCCAAGGAGCAGGGAGCCCGATGCGGGACTCGATCCCAGGACCCCGGGATCATGACCCGAGCCGAAGGCAGACGCTTAACCATCTGAGCCACCCAGGCGCCCTGCAAAATCCCTTTTGCCAACATAATAGTCACAGGTTCTAGGGATTAGGGCATGGATGTCTCTGGAGGACCATCTGCCTGCCACAGGCCCAGGCGACACTGAAGAGAGTTAACCATGATAGGTACCAGCCGATAGTGTGGTCTGGGTGGCCCGTGCGGGATTAGGGGGTGCTGAGGTCGTACCGGGGGCTGGAGCGACATTTGCTTGGCGAGGCTTTGGTGTATTATTCTCCAGTCCGGTGCTTCTGACACAGATCACCTGGGGATACACGCACATCACCAGGGATGTTGTTAAAATGCGGATTCTGACTCAGGAGGCCTGGGGGAGGGCCTGAGATCCTGCGCTTATAACAGATTCCCAGGCAATGCTGATGTTGTTGGTTTAGGGATCACATTTTGAGTAGCAAAGATCTGGTTCATTCCTTCAACAAGCATTCCCTGTAGACCAGGCTCTGTGCTCCGCAGCGATGAGTGTTCTCCCCCTCTTGCAGTTTACAGTTTACAAGTTAGTGGGGAGGACAGGGACGTACAAACAATTGTGTGATGAAAGCAGAAAGGGTTTTCATAGTAATGATGTAGGAAAGAATGTTAGGGTTAGAAGCCGACGGCCAGGAAAGACATCTTGAGACGTCTTTGGTGCACAAAGGTGGTTTTATTAAAGCACGGGGACAGCGACCCGTGGGCAGAAGGTGCCGCACTGGGGTCTTGAGGGGTGGCCCATTATATACTTTCAAGTTGGGAAGGGGTTAGGGACAGTGTAAGTCTCTAAGAGATTTTGGAAGGAAGGTTTCCAGGACCTTGAGGAGGCCAGCTC